AAAGACAATTGTCAGGCCATGTGTTGTGTTTTGCTTGACTTTGATAAGACACAGAAGTGTTGAAACAAAATGGCTATTTTGGTAGTGATGTTATAACATATTTATGTTATAATTTTCGAATAAATACTATTTGTTCTACTCTGTATTGAGCACTCTTTTAAGAATAGTGTTTTTGCTTATTGGAATTTTATTCTGTCTACACGAATCCTATATTTGGGTATAAATAGTCTTTGTTTATGTTTCTTTATATATATATATATATATATATATATAAATAAAATTTATATAAAAATAGTCACGCAAAAATACAATGCACATGGCCTGAGAGTTATGCTTAGCATGAAACAGTCTGTTGCCTCTGAGTATTGACTTCGATGGCCACTTTTATATTTACATACACTCTATCCCCAATATTGAGCACTTTAATCCATAAATATAGCATACCTTAAAACTATATTTTACCATATATATATATATATATATATATATATATATATATATATAAGTACTCTGAAAAACATTATGACTGATTTTCAAGGTTGCTATATTCTTGCAAAATATAAATGTATATATTTTATAAGGTTTGAGAATCTTTGTAAGAAAATAAAATTCTTCGTGAAGTCTTTTTTTTTTCAGTTGCTATCAATGCCTGGTTGCTTTTGTTCACAAATGAACTAAATACATTTCTGTGTACTTAGTATTTTAGGGATCATTTAATTCTGTGTATGTTCTATATTTTGAAAAGAAAATATATTATAAAATATATTTTGTATAGAAATTATTGGAAATTTTATAATAAAATTTACATTTTATTTACAGTTTCAAATGCACTAATGAAAATAAAACCTATTCTTATCTGTAAATGTCTTAAAGGTTTCTGTGAAAATTTTATTATCACAGAAATTTGCATTCTTGTTTGTATATATTTCAATGAATATTTTGAAGCCACTCTCATTTTATTTTTTTATCTCACCTCATATTCATATGTACCTTTTCAAAAAGGAGATTAAAAATCATTTTGCTATTATCAGAAAAAAAAATTCAATTTTATTAACCTCATTTGACTATTTGGCTGAATATTTTTTTCAAAAACAATTTAACAGTTCCTCATCAGAATAAAATCATTTTAAAGAAAATTTGAAGAAATATTTTTTTATGATTGCAGCAAAAATGAAAAATATGGACATATTAAATTTAAAAAAACAATGTAATAGGAAACCAAAAAACAAGAAATATTTACAATAAACATAATTGCAATAAACATATTTACAATAAACATAATTGCAATAAACATATTTACAATAAACATGTACAATATAAAAAATATATCCAAAAAACTATAACAAAGTTAAATTGTCAACATTCCTCACTCTACACCCACTACATATATATATTTGTTAAAAATATTCAGTCTGAATATATATTTAGGGGGTGTAGAGAAAATGATATATATTCAGGGGGTGTAGAGAAAATGATATATAAATTTATATATACCAGAACAGTGTTAGGAAAATTGATGACAAAATTTTTTTGTGTGACATCTTTTATACTTTCAGACTTCATCAAACTAATGTGATGCTTCTGTTTACATGACTACAAATATGCACAAAGGAGAGGGAATTCTGAAATTTTATACTTTTAAATTTATTTGTTTTTGATGTGTTTGTTATATAGGAATAACGTGTCACTGCCGACACTCGAGTTTGAACACAGATCGCCAGTGAGCAAACACAGGCGATTTCATTATTAAATTATATGGATCACATGACCATAGAGGAAACACATATATTGGAAGTTGCGTGACATCTAGATTGACCTCCAATTCTAGTCTATTACTATTTGGATCACTATTTCTAGTCTATCCTCTATTACTATTCGGATCTCTATTCCTAGTCTATTCTCTATACTATATGGACCACTATTCTCTACTCTATTCACTATACTATTTCTCTATTCAGATCACTACACAGGTTACTATTCAAGCGAGTATTATCAAGCAAGTACTATTAGTGTGAGATTATTCAAAGGGGTCTGACACTAGCATTGTTCAATGGCGTACTATAGTTATATCTGCAATTACAAAGTCTCTACTACAACAAGCATTACAAAAGTGATGATCAGTATCGCTGACCTCACAAAAATGGCAACAGGTGTTCATTGACATCACAAAAATAGTCTAGCTTATTTTGTTTACTTTCTTTTTGTTTATGTTTTTATCACTTTTGTTATTGAGCATCCCACATTGGGATAATAGAATATCTGTCAAGAAAGGTGAAATTTTCTAAGAACCTGGATGCAAATTTCCTGTAGGTGATCTAGTGAAATTATCTAGACTATAAACTCAGAGACATCTAACAAAAAACAAAAAAATATTAAATTTAAAAGTTTAACATTTCAGTATCACCCTCCTCTTTGTGTGCAGGTGTGTAGTTGCATTAGCAAAAACATCACACACACATATATGTATTTTTAAATGTATTTCTTTTAATACAACATTATTTCTCATTGAATGCTGAATGGATGAAGAAAAGAATAATGACTGCACTTCCTTAAGGGTCATGCAATCCTGATTATATAAACACCAAATTCAAAGACCCATCCATTTATTCTTTTTTAAATGAAAGGTGTCCGGTTATCTTGTTAACAGTCCCTGTTAAAAGAGAAGTCCCTTTCAGTCCTTGGCTCACTTCTTTAGGTGATAATAATTTCTTTTGAGGTTACTGACCCCATTCCTACTTAACCTGATGCCACTGATGGGGCTCCTGATAAAGGAACAGCACTGATTCCTGTTGCATGATTAGCATGGGAAATTTAATCTTATTTTTCTGATTATTCTGACTTCCTTTATCATTTCATGATTATATTGTTTTCAATGTGTCTTTTCTAACTGGTATAATATAATTTTGTACCCCAAAAGAATATTTTTGTAATAGTAATCATCAAGATTGTTGCAAACAAAAAAACTGTTTTATACTTTTCACTCTTATAATGAATTTTATGTCTTTTTAATATTTTTTTGTTTTTTTGTTTCTCATCATGTCAAAAATATTATGAATTTTGTTAAATTTAAAGAATTTTAACAATTTGAGCTTTTGGTGAAATATTTTTATCAAATTTTATTTTTTTATATTTCTATGGGGAAAAAAATCACATCATGTAATTACTAAACGTATTTGTTTTTTTTGTATATTTTAATTTTTCTTTCACTAGCAAGAAACATTTCAAAAATTGATTTAAAATGTTTATCTGATTTTAAAGTATTAATTTTTGATAAATAAATGCATGTTATTATTTTCAAAGAGTATGATTCTTTGTCTGTTTTTTATTTCTGAAGAGTTATTTATTTTATCTAGAACATCCTATCTGAATTTCTGTGATGAGAAGTTATCATTAATTTACCTTATTTGCATGCAAACTATTGTCCCCATTTTTGTTGTTATAAGTACCATTCACTCTGGTCTTCAGCTTGTCAATTCAGGTAACCTTCAGTGAATTTAATCTACAAGAATCAATACATATGGTAGGCTATGAGGACCTCTTTAGGAGGCTCAACATATAAATAAATACAATATAGGAATTATTAAGAAAGAAAAAAATGATACTAGGCTTCAATAGCAGTCACATCAGCAGGCAGATTAGGTTTAAGGCTCCAAGTTCTATACTCAGGATTGTACCACAAGAAAATAGCCTAGTGGATTAGAGCATTGGTTCATGAATCTGGTGATATAGTAATTATGAGTTCAATCACTGTGCTGTGTTGGTCAGTATAAACAGTGGAAACAGAGTGAGTAATAACTGAGCCCAGTAATTAAATAAGAACTTGATGAGATATTCCTAGGCGTGGTCAATGAAATGAGAACAGTCTACTCACATAGATTAAATAAAGGGCCCAGTTCAAAATTCTCTGAAGGTTACCTAGATCAACAAGCACCTGATGAAATCTGAAGAGCTAAATGGCCAAAGCGTTGTGATAATAATAATAAAAATGAAAACAACAGTTTGCATGTAAATACTGGACTATTCTCATTTGTTTTTTGTTTTGTTTTTATTTTATTTGTTTTTGTTTATTTTGCTTTCATCTGTGTTTTTCAGTGAATTTTCCCATAAAATTTATAAAAGCCAAACAGCAAATATTCTACGAAAAAAGTGTTACATTTAAATAATTAAAAAAAGGGCTGGTTAGAACAAAAATGTTCCAAATTAATTTTTCTCCCCAAAAGAATAATCATCCCAACCCATCTATTTGAAACCCAATCTCTGTCTAAGAATTTCAAATCATTTATATTCAGTTGAGCTTTGAGATAAAGTCTAATCAGTTATTATTAATGTCTTCTCTTTTAATTCTTCCATTTTAATTTCAATTGCTTTTCATTACAATTCTTTACTTCCAATCCATTCTGCTTAACAACTGTAGGATTAAAGATTTTCTAATTCTAACTGTCAAGTTACAATAAAAAGTAACTGAAATTAAAATGTAAGAAATACTATTATTAATATTTCTTTATATTCAATTTCAGTTACTAAAAGATTAATAATAATTGACAAGGTTTCATCCAAGAAATTAAAAAATACAGTTAATGTTTGACTTGTGTATATAAATAAAGATAATATATGAAAAAGGATGAGAAAATAAGCAATGGCAATATATGATTAGAGTTAAATGATTGAAGCTGATGAATGATATAATTTATTTTATTCTACAAATTTATATCTGCTAATGTATTTATCATATACTTATAAAATCTTAGCTAATCCTATCAATTTTCTTATTACTTTATTCTCAAATAAATCAAGTCTACTAATAACCAATTAATACCACCACTACCTTTGCCTTATAAACAAACAAATGAAAACATTCTTACACAACCAGTAACCACTACACCACCATGCACATAACTGTTATTAATCACCACAATAATTAAAAATATATTGACCCAGATTTAGGTTATAAAAAGTAACAATAAAATGTTGTTAAACTTATTATAAAGCAATAATTGTTAGAATAATGAAAAATGTATAGTCAAGTATGTCATAATAAAAATTAATAATAATAAAAATGGAGTAAATCTTTTGTTATTATTGTTAATGATAATAATAATAATAATAAAGAAGAGAGTTGGGATAAAAAGATATAATAATAAGATGGAGGAAGACTAGTAAAATATTCTTGAAGAATATGTGGTGATTACCCCAGCTCATCTGTCAATTAACTAAGCTTAATGCCACTAGGTAGTAGGAGTATATAAGGAAGGGCCATAAAATTCTCTCTCCTCTCTCCCTCTCCCCAAAGATGTGGTAGATAGAAGATCTGTCCAGTTTTCCCCTCCAGAGAGACTTAGTCATATGGCAAGCCAACTTCTTAATTTCAACCCAACCACATGGCACACACACTACAAGTAATCACAAGTATTTTCCTTCTTTTTGAGTTATCTGTGTACATATAATTATAATTTTCTCTTTCTCTTCATTTGTGAACTATATTGTTCTTTATATAAATATATATGGGAAAACAATATATAAATTTTTATATCTCAAAAACAAAACTGAAATCTAAAAAAAAAGTGGAAAAAGATTTCATGAAGTTCTAAAAGATAAAACACATCCCACAAAAAATTTTACAATTTGTCATAGATTTCTCTGAAATAAATATATATATATATATATATAAAGTCCTCCAAATGTTGAAGTAATTTCTCTTGAAAATATTGAATTCATTGATTCTGAAAATCTTCACTGATAACAAAATAAATATGACAACTACTCTGCGATTTATCATTAGCTTGTATTATAAGTTGCAATTGATAGAGGTTTCACACCACCTCAACAAAAGGTTGCTCATATCTAATGGCAAAATGAAAATGTACCTGTGACCATCTGAAATGTGTGTGCCTTATATACTGATTATAGTAACTGCAGATTCACTACAATTGGTCAATAAGCAAGTATAGAAAATAACCCCTATTTCCAACACAACTACATACCCACCCCACATACATACAATATTAAAACACACCCAAACTTTATTTTCTACCCATAACAGCTAACATTTACAAACATGCCAAAAGGATTCCATAATACGACACATACTGTTTAAAGCAAAGTGTCTATTGGTTAGAAATCAATATCACCATGTGAAATACTTGAGCAATCAGAAAAACCTAAAACCCTATTTTTCTGAAGCTTATTTTTGGAGAAAAATTTCTTATATAAGCCCACAGATTTTGATATTTAGCAGCAGAGATGTGACTGTCTCCAAGCTATTCAAACACATGGCTACATGATTTTTCCTTCCCCCAGCATGTGCTGTAAGAAGCATGTGTCAGCAACTTCAAATGAATCAGTTCCAACAGCAAGTAAGGTTAGTGAATCTTCACTGATGATGATAGTCTTTACTAAACTACAGATTTTCCTGTGGACTAACTACCCAAAGACTTTAACTCAACTAAAGACTATTTTTACTTCTTTTTGACTCTTTTGAATTCATCTAGATATATTTGTAAAATACAAATGATTTATTTAACCAGCATATCCATGTTTGTTTGTTTTTTTTTTTTGTTTTTTTTTTATTATTGTTTGGAATTTGAATGTTCAAATTTTTAATATAAAAAAACCAGATGACAGAATTACTTACACAAGCAGTAACCATGTGTCTCTTGGAAAATATAATGAGAACAATCTATCCCTGTGGATTGAAGAAAGGGTTCTGTTCAAAACTCAAAAAAGGTAACAATTATGAGAGACACCTGAAGGGAGCCAGAAAGTAGAATGGCCAAAATGCTGTGAGTATAATAAAGGTATAACATAAAAGGAAGTTCTGGAGAGCCATAATTGGAAATAGAAGAAATGAACTCAGTGCTTGTTGGGTGCTAAATACTTATGGCTTTGTGTCAAAACTAAAATAGGCTTAGTAAATAATTTTTATATGTCTTCTTGTATGTCAGAAGTTATTTATTGTGACATGACAATAAATAAAAAATGAGTGACTAAAAAGAGAAGCAAAAATAAAATAATAGTAAATAGTTTATTAAAAAATTAGAAAAGAAAATGCAGATATATTAAAATATAAATGACTTACAGTCATATCATGTTGAAACCTGTATGATCACCTAAGTTAAGCACTGTCAAGGCTGGGCAGTACCTAGATGGGTGACCACTTGGGAATACCAGGTGCTGTAAATTTGGATATATGGTTGGTGTAATGGATAATGGCTCAGAATTGTTAATCAGAGAGCAGAGTTCCAATTCCTGTTGGGTTTGTTATATTCACTTACGTGCAAATATCAAATTGGAAAAGGTATGAGTTCACCTCTTCTCCCCACCCTAATGACGGTTTAATTAATAAAACTCATATTACTAAACCATTATTATCTCAAAATGAAAATCTTACAATCTAAAAATATTTTCTGGCTTTAAATAACCTGCAAATGGTGGATAATCCATAGAAAACAAATCAATCAATCAATAAAATAGTGTTTAGCTACACAGTATCATGTCTCTTACTCTTTTCTATATAAACCAGATGTTGACTGCTTGATGACCCAAAGCAGAATGTGAAAATGTGTGTCTGCACATCATAGCTCAACGCATGTTTTTGGTATTAAAGAAAATAAAATGAACTATATATTGGCTGGTAAAAATGACTCCCACTAAAAGACCCAGACTGTGATTTGGAGCCAATATGTCTGATATAAATTCTCCAATTCAATGCTGCAAAGGAGAGAGACCCTGCTGAGATGTTGGCACGCAGAGTCTGGCTGAGAACGCAACAGGCACACTGAACAGAATACTATCAATTTCAACTTTCAATGCCAATGCCACCATCTTCACAAGACATCAGTTGAAAGCCTTTCTTTCTTTCTCTTCCACTCTGTTGCTTTTCACAACAGCAATGGGTAGTAGTTTGTTGTCTTTGTATATATGTAAATAAATTATACATTTATTTACCCAAAATCCAATGTATTCCTTTTCCTTGAATTCACATTTGCTGAGGCAAAGAAGAAATTAACCTCTACATCAATAACAACAACAGCAACAACAACTTCTGTCTTCTAGGTTACCTATTCTTCGCTTCTGCAACAACAGGCATGACTTTTAGATTTATTTGCAGTCTCTGGAATACAAATGTATAGAAACTACTGTGACCATAAAGTAGGGGATCAGTTTATACATTGATTGTAATGTAGAATTTATCCTCCATTTTATATCCACGTTATAATTTCTTGTTTGTTTATCAAATTCTAATTAGGTATGAATCCACCTCTTTTCCCCCAGTTATAGGTTAATTAGTAAAGGGGTATCACTAAATCACTATGATCTAAAAAAAAAATTATTACAATTTAAAATGATTTTCTAGCTTTAAATAACCTGAAAAGGGTTGATAAACCCATAAAAAATGAATCAATCAATCAATTAAAAATAAACCCGGTGTTCTCACTGCTAATAAGCAAAATGAATACTTAAACTTTTATCTATTTTCTCCATTTCTTTCTCTTTCTTTGATCTATCAAAACTCTGGCTGTAAAATTCAAAACTTCATGATAAAGTCAAAAATGGCAATAATCTATAAAATTTCCATCTTCTTATACAGCTTAGCTAATACCTATCTACAATGTATGCAAAACCTGGAATCTTGGGAATAAAATGAAATATCAAGGACCAATGAAATACTGAAAAATTCTCTTACACATCTATACATAAGCTAGAAAAATATGAGCAATTTTGTCTGCTTACACACCTCCTTTGCATATAGACATGTCATGTGATTAGTCCACCAAAAACCACTAGCTTATTTTGGGTATTGACCAGAAGTGGTGCAAGCGTCTTGTGTGTCCTCCAAACCTATGATATGGAGCCCGCTCTCTACTATATCTCAATTTTCATAGACTCTCCACTTGTAATATACCCCTTCACTGGTATAACTCCCATCACTCACTTTTAAGATCTGATTTCTAGGTACCATCAAATGGATGCAATTTTTCCAAAATTAAAGCAAAAAATTGCTGCCCAGTTTTTTTTAAATTTGCAATAAATCAGGTAATTATCTGATTAAACCAAATTTTTGAGAGAGGGAGTCATAAATAATTTGGTGAGAAGGGAATTAAGCTTTTTAATTTGGTGTATAAATCATAAACTTTAATTTTCTTTTAATTTGGTGAGAGAGGGGAGTCATAAACTTAATTTGGTGAGAGAGGAAGTCATAAGCTTTTTAATTTGGTGAGAGAGGAGAATAAACTTTAATTTGGTGAGAGAGGAAGTCATAAGTTTTTTAATTTGGTTATTTAATTTGGTGAGAGAGGGAAGTCATAACTTTTTTAATTTGAGAGAGGGGAGGATTTGGTGAGAGAGGGGAGTCATAAACTTTAATTTGGTGAGAGAGGGAAGTCTTTTTAATGAGAGAGGGGAGTTTTTAATTTGGTGAGAGAGGGAAGTCAAAAGCTTTTAATTTGGTGAGAGGGAATCATAAACTTTTTAAGCTTTTTAATTTGGTGAGAGGGGAGTCACAACTTCATAAGCTTTTTTTAATTTTGAGAGAGGGGAGTCATAAACTTTAAGAGAGGAAGTCATGTTTTTTAATTTGGTGAGAGGAGTCATAAACTTTAATTTTGAGAGAGGGAAGTCATAAGCTTTTTAATTTTTTAAATTTAATTTGGTGAGAGAGGGAGTCATAAAAACATGTTTTTTAATTTGGTGAGAGAGGGGCTATAAACTTTAAGTCATAAGCTTTTTAATTTGGTGAGAGAGGGAGTCATAAACTTTAATTTGGTGAGAGAGAGGAAGTCATAAGTCATAAACTTTAATTTGGTGAGAGAGGGAAGGAGCTTTTTAAGCTTTTTTAATTTGGTGAGAGAGGGAAGTCATAAGCTTTTTAATTTGGTGGGAGAGGGGAGTCAAACTTTAATTTGGTGGAGAGGGAAGTCAGTTTTTAATTTGGTGAGAGAGGGGAGTCATAAACTTTAATTTGGTGAGAGGAAGTCAAGCTTTTAATTTTGAGAGAGGGAGTCATAAACTTTAATTTGGTGAGAGGGAAGTCTTTTAAGAGAGGGAAGTCATAAGCTTTTTTAACTTTAATTTGGTGAGAGAGGAGTCATAAACTTTTTAATTTGGTGAGAGAGGAAGTCATAAACTTTTAATTTGGTGAGAGGGGGAGTCATAAACTTTAATTTGGTGAGAGAGGAAGTCATAAGCTTTTTAATTTGGTGAGAGAGGGGAGTCATAAACTTTAATTTGGTGAGAGAGGGAAGTCAGCTTTTTTAATTTGGTGAGAGGGGAGTCATAAACTTTAAGCTTTTAATTTAAACTTTAATTTGGTGAGAGGGAAGTCATGTTTTTTTATAAACTTTAATTTGGTGAGAGAGGGAAGTCATGCTTTTTTTAAATTTGAGAGAGGGGAGTCATAAACTTTTAATAAAGTCTTTTTAATTTTGAGAGAGGGAGTGTCATAAGCTTTTTTTAATTTGGTGAGAGAGGGAGTCATAAAATTTGGTTTTAATTTGGTGAGAGGGAGATTTGGAGAGAGGGAAGTCATAAGCTTTTTAATTTGAGTGAGAGGGAGTCATAAACTTTTTAATTTGCGGAGAGAGGGAAGTCATGCTTTTTAATTTGGAGAGAGGGAGTCATAAACTTTAATTTGGTGAGAGAGGGAAGTCATAAGCTTTTTTAATTTTGAGAGGGGAATTTAATTTGGTGAGAGAGGGAAGTCATAAGCTTTTTAATTTGGTGAGAGAGGGGAGTCATAAACTTTAATTTGGTGAGAGAGGGAAGTCATAAGCTTTTTAATTTGGTGAGAGAGGGGAGTCATAAACTTTAATTTGGTGAGAGAGGGAAGTCATAAGCTTTTTAATTTGGTGAGAGAGGGGAGTCATAAACTTTAATTTGGTGAGAGAGGGAAGTCATAAGCTTTTTAATTTGGTGAGAGAGGGAGTCATAAACTTTTTTGTGAGAAGGGAAGTAAGCTTTTAATTTTTCATAAGCTTTTTAAGAGAGAGGGGAGTCATAAACTTTAATTTGGTGAGAGAGGAAGTCATGCTTTTTAATTTGGTGAGAGAGGAATAAACTTTAATTTTTAAGCTTTTTAATGAGTGAGAGAGGGGAGTCATAAACTTTAAACTTTAATTTGGTGAGAGAGGAAGTCATAAGCTTTTTTAATTTAGTGAGAGAGGGGAGTCATAAACTTTAATTTGGTGAGGTGTTTTAAGAGAGAGGGAGTCATAAAGCTTTTTTAATTTGGTGAGAGAGGGAGTCATAAACTTTAATTTGGTGAGAGAGGAAGTCATAAGTGAGAGGGGAGTTTTTAATTTAGTGTTTTTTAAGAGAGGAGTCATAAACTTTAATTTGGTGAGAGAGGGAAGTCATAAGCTTTTTAATTTGGTGAGAGAGGAGTCCATAAACTTTAATTTTGAGAGGGAAGTGCTTTTAATTTGGTGAGAGGGAGTCATAAACTTTAATTTGGTGAGAGAGGGAAGTCATAAGCTTTTTATTTTGGAGAGAGGGAGTCATAAACTTTAATTTTGAGAGAGGGAAGTCATAAACTTTTTTTGGTGAGAGAGGGAGTTTTAAACTTTAATTTGGTGAGAGAGGGAAGTCATCTTTTTAATTTGGTAAACTTTTTAATTTGGTGAGAGAGAGGGAGTCATAAACTTTTAATTTGGTGACAAACTTTAATTTTGAGGAAGTCATAAGCTTTTTAATTTTTAATTTTGAGGAGAGAGGGAAGTGTTTTTTAAGAGAGGGAGTCATAAACTTTAATTTGGTGAGTCATAAGCTTTTAATTTGGTGAGAGAAGTCATAAGCTTTTTTTAATTTAGTGAGAGAGGGAGTCATAAACTTTAATTTGGTGAGAGGGAAGTCATAAGCTTTTAATTTGGTGAGAGGGAGTCATAAACTTTAATTTGGTGTCATAAGCTTTTTAATTTGGTGAGAGAGGAAGTCATAAGGTTTTTTTAATTTGGTGAGAGAGGGAGTCATAATAAACTTTAACTTTTTTGGTGAGAGGGAAGTCATAAGCTTTTTAATTTGGTGAGAGAGGGAGTCATAAACTTTAATTTGGTGAGAGAGGAAGTCATAAGCTTTTTAATTTTGAGAGAGGGGAGTCATAAACTTTAATTTGGTGAGAGAGGGAAGTTTTTAATTTGGTGAGAGAGGGAGTCATAAACTTTAATTTGGTGAGAGAGGGAAG